ATAAACTGGCAGGACGCGGAGAAAAGGTCCCCAGAGTGACCTGCCGAGCGCGGAGAAGTAGTAAGAGCAAAGGGAGAGGATGTTTGCGCCAGTGTCTACAAAAAAAAACATAGGAGGCCCGCCCGCTAGCCCAGAGTCTGCTGGATGTACTGGTTGATGAAGGGCAGGAGGGGCACGAGCCTCTCGATGTGATCGGCGACCTTCACCATGCGATTGAACTTGCGCAGCTGCACCACCAGCGCCCGCGCCACCGTCATACGTCTGCTCGTGATGAAAATTCGCACGTGCGGGTTCTCACTGTAAGCACGACCACACACACACACAACACACAACACACACACGACACATGGTCAATCACATGAGGAAAAGAAGGTGGTAAAGCGCAAGGTACCTTCGGATGAAGCCACAGAGTATTTCGAGTACCTCCACCATCTCCAGGGTATCTGCTCGCAAAGGCAGATACTCCAACCACGCGTCGATTGCTCTGTGGGGCGGGCCGACAGAACAGAAGTGATTTTTTCAGAACCAACTGAATCACTTCCTCAGTCGCATGTACGTGCGTGCCCACACAACGATCATTGTGGGGCGATGAACGTACCCGGTGAGATTAGGCATGTTGTAGTAGTGCTTGCAGAAGACCTTGGCCTGCGCGCTCAGGGTGTTGTCGCACACCCATTGCCTGCGATACACATGCATACACACAGAGTCAGGAAACCATGTGGTCAGCAGACGTGTGTGTCAGGGCCGTACTCAGGTGTCTTGGAGTCGCCCGTGTCCTCTCGCGACCGTTGTGCTCGGGCGTGCCACTTGATGGTGGCCTGCTGCAACGTGGCGAAGCCCTGGCAGAGGGCATCGCTCGTCTCCTTGTCCGTCTCCGGTGAAGTCAACTTAGCGCACACTCCGAGACCTGTTCAACGCAATGAGTGTGAGCATACACTCTCAGTGCCTCCTTCCCGCGCATTGGCGACTTGTTGTGGTGCATAAATGAGCGGGAGCGGCGGCGTAGGTACCATAGCAGGCGGCTTGCGAGATCGCAGGGTCGGGATGCAGGACGAAGCGGAAGAGAAGCGGACAGATCGTGCTCACATAGTCGCTGCGCATGCCATTGACACGGTGGTTAATTGGTTGTCGATCTTTGACAGCTTTCTTTTGTTGAGATGCCGGGTCAGGTGACGTACGCAGGCTGCGGCATGTAGTCCAGCACGCTGTCCAACATCAGCAAACAGCCCTGCTGCGTGGCCGGGAATGGCGTGTCTTGCTGTCGGCGACGGGTAAAAGGGAAAGAGAGGTAAGAAAGAGATGTAAATCCACCCCCATCATCTCGCCGTGTGGCAGAAGCAGAGAGTACGTACGAGAACGTTTTGCAGGCTGGGTATGACGTGATTCATCAAAAATGGCCCGTCGAAGGCTTTGGGGTGGTACTGCAGCAGGCCTTCCATAACCTCGGGAATAAGGCTGCCCGCCAGAAAAGAGGCTGCACATGTTGTGAAATGGGTGCGTTAGTGTAAAGAACACACATACGCGGTGTGCGAAGAGATGACGAAGAAGATGAAGATGACGACGCACCCCCTTCGCCAATTTCCTCGCCTATCAGAACGAACAAACGAAAGATGAGCACAAGCAACGATCCGGGAAGCGTGAACGGAGAGAGCGTACCTTCGAAGTCCATGTAGTGATCACTGTCGTAGAGGACCGAGAGGAGATGCTCGGCCGTGGCGTGCACCTCCTCCACGCCCAAGCATTCGCCCTTGGCTGTCGACAATATCTGGGCGATGTCGTAACGAACAAACGTCAGGCGCTTCGGCTCATGAAGACGAACGGAAGAGGCGCAGGAGGTCGGCTAGCGAGTGTAGGAAGGCGTACCTCCTCCCATAGGACGAAGAGCTCCATCGACTTCTTGGGCTCCTGCACTCTTTCCCAAGCGTTGGCCAGGTCTTGCCACAGAGGCTCGACCAAGTTCAGCAGCGTAACGGCGTCGGGCTCCGCGAACTCATCGTCATTGCCCTCCTTCTTATCTGCCTCATCGTTGACAGCCAGCTGCTTTTCCTTCCCCTTCTCTTTCTCCTCGCCGTCTGTCGTCGTTTCCTCGGCTTGTCGCGCTTCGTGTGGCGGCTGCTGGACAAGTTGATGAAGAAGCGCGGCGAGATCGTCGACGCCGTCGTCATTCGGTTTGCCCGGCAGAAGGGCTCGCGCGGCGCGTGCGGAGGCGTCGAGCGTGGCCTTCAGCGCGGCGAGCTTGGCCTCGTCGGTCTGCTTGTTCTGCGCGGACTTGGCGCGTTCGTAGAGCCGGATGAACGATGGAATGCGCCGGCAGAACGAGAGCTCCTTCACGCCCATCACCTCGAAGTTGTTGTCCACCAGCCGCAGCACGCGCTGCAGCATGTACTGTGCGGGCTTGATGTAGGGGAGGAAATGCTGAGCCCTGCGGTACACAAAAATTGAGTGAAAATAGTGAGAACTAATTAGGGGGTAGTTGTGTGCAAGCAAAGAAATGGAGAAAGAAGTGCGATCGCTACGTGCCCTTCATCAGACTCGGCGAACATGGTGATGACGCTGCCCAGCGCGTTGATGGCTATTCTCTTGTCCCTGATGTCTCGCTTATACACGTACACCTTTTGCACTCCGCCTGCACACACGGAACATACACACCGGAGGCCTTAAGCACTTACTGCAGGGATCTTGCGATCGACAAGAAAGAAATACCAAAGTCGTCCACGGTTTCAGCGACCTCCCAGCCGTCCATGTCCACCGGTCGGTCTTCGGTCATGAGGAGCACGGCGTCGCACTCGTGCGGGATGCACCTCTCCGTCACGTTGATGAAGAGGCCGATGTAGGGTGCGAAATCCATCTGCAGACACAGGGCTATCCGGCCGAGCGCACTGGCCACGTAGGAGGGCGTCACATCAAGGAGCCTCTCAATCGTGTCGTCTGTGTGGTTGCCGTCACCCATCATCAGTGTCAGAACAACACCCCGGTACGCCAATTGGCAGAGCACTACGTACTGGGGCTGATGAGAGCGTTGATGAACTTGAGCGCGTCGGCCTGGAATTCCTCCTTCCCGGCGAGCGTGCCAACCTGGGTGGTGCAGCGAAACACTCGGCCGATGGTGCGCAGGTTGGTCTTTTCGTCCTGATCGAACGCGACCTTACGGTCGAGCATGCCAAGGCACAGCGCCACCAGCCGCGGCAAATGCTGTATAAAAGAGGAGAAGTTAGTACGGCCACTGCTCATGTTGGGGGATCAATTGCGAAGGCATAAGGGCCTGCCTTACCTTCTTCAGAACGGTGTCCGAGAGCTGGGTGATGTTGAAGAGAGCCGTGACGGCGTGCTCCTTGACCTTGGCGCTTCCCTCCTTGACCAGTTCGGTGAGCCCCTGGACCAAGCGGTCCGACCACTGGTCCTCTTCGGGAGAGCTCGGCGGTGGTGACACGGAACTCGCCGCCGGTGGCACCACTTCGCTTTCCTGCTGCGAGGAGTCGGCCTCGACCTCGGTCTCGTCCAGCTGAGCTTCAGGCGGGGGCATTAAGAATTGGTCCACTTCTGGCTCCTCTTCGTCTTCAGCGTCCACCTTCGCGTCGTCGTTTTCGTCCTCAAAGTCGTCGTTCCTGGGGGCAACGCCCTCGCTTCTCGATTTGTTCTGGAAAAAGTAGGTCATCGCTCGGCAGGTGGTGATCAGCACGCTCACCGATGAATCCTTCAGCCCTGTGGCACATGACGCGATGTGTCGAAACAGTTCGACTACAGTCAGTACTGTCGGGGTCTTTAGCTGTGAGGTTGAAAGAGTGGTCGGTCGTACGATCGTTGAAGACGGGCATGACCAACGCGGAGAACTTTTTGGAGAACTGTGGCACGTACTTGGCCATTCGGCCCAAGCACACAGCTGCCGCCACCCGCAAACTAAACCGAGGCCGAGTTTGGCCAGTAAGCAACGTTTCGAGTACAATGCATCACAGAAAGAGGTAAGGTCATGGCGTACGAAATGTTCGGATGTTGGAAATAGTGCACCACAGTATAGACGAGCGGGTCGAGGCGGGTCGGAGTGGCCACGGGTCCATAGGCCTGCACCATGGGTGGTGAATGGGCTGTAGTGTTGGAACGAGTCTCCAATGCAGCTGAGGAATTCCCAGGAAAGCAAGGCAGGGGAAGGTTAGTACCTTCATCAGTGCGGCCAACGCTCTCAGGGCTGCATGAGGATACTGCCACTCCTCCTCACACATGAAAAACTGTCCAATGTAGCTCATGCACACTGGCATTATGGTTTTGTATCCTGGTGCGTGCAAGAAGCAGCGCGCGAAACATGTCAGTTCCGATTGTGTCGGGTACAGCACTGGGCAGAGGTGGCGTCGTTACCAAAGGCTCTGACGACGGCGGACAGCGCCCATCCGGCGACAGCTGTCGGCGAGTCCTTGCCGTGGTGTTCGTCTTCGTCCTCGGCGCTATCGTCCTCGTAGACGATCCCGTCAAAGGACTCATCCTGTTCCTCCACCTCTTCTTTGCGTGGCTCCGCGAGTAGAAACAGATACATGAGATGCCAGACCAGGAAGCGAAGGAAGTTGCCCTCCTTGCCCAGCACGACAGCGTGTTTCTGTTCCAACACAAAAACGGCGCCCAGACGCAAACAGAGCTGTTAGCGAGTACGCATGCGTATGTGGGGGCGGAAAGGGCGTGCGGCATACTGTTGATAGGCTGATGAGAGGCTGAAGTGCCACTGACCGCAAGCGCCCGGGGACGAAGGGCGAGGTGGCAAGTGACACCAGAGTTTGCACGTAGATGGGGATGTGCGGCACCACGAAAGGCAGCGACAGGTGGTCAAAACTTCGCAGGAGCTCCTCCAGCTTTTCATAGTCGCCCGCATTGCTGAGCTCCGAGATGGCCTGTTGATGTGAAGCACGATCAGCTTTCTTGTTGTGTGGCCAAGAAGACGATGAGGTGCTGGTCATACCCGCACGATTTGAGGAAGAAAAGTGTTCAAGCCGAGGAAGCCATTGAGGCAAGAAGGCAGCTCAGAATTGAAGGCATTGGTGATCACCATCATCGCGGCGATCCGGAGCTGCAGAGAAACGTGCACGGTCAGCTCTGCATGAAGAGCCGCACAGAATGAATAGGACTGGGAGGAGCATACAGAGAGAGGAGCGGTAGCATCGGTGATGGTGCTAGAGAGGTGAGGGAAAAGCGCTTTTTCCACGAAGTGGGCAGGTCCATCTTCATCGTCTTCGCCTTCTTCGTGCGAAAGCAGATACGGCAGAAGCTGCGCGGCAAGCATCACCAGCCATTGTGCAAAGAATGTCAGGAGCGCGCTCGCGGGCAGAGGTGCGGGTGAGGGCGCGCGTACGATCTCGTGCATGATGCGTGCGAAGAGGGTGAGGCCGAGCTCGGCCAGCAGGTGGCGATCGGCCTGCGTGGTGGCGGCGGTGTGGGTGGCCGGGTTTAGGCAGTACCGCAGAAGCTGCCCGAGATTGGCGACCTGATTGGGGGATTGTTCGATGTCGATCTCCTCGCTGAGCTTCCAGATGAGTGAGACGACGTTGTTGAGCTCGCGCCTGACCTCCTCCGACGTGGCTTCGTCGACATAGACCATCTTGAGTGCCTCCAGTGCCATCTGCTGCTCCGCCTCGCCGATCGGATCCACATGCTCGTCGAAGTAGGCAAACAGCAGCTCGTGGCCCATGTTCAGCACCAGGATCTTGTCGGCCTCGCTCACGCCCGCCGTGCGCAAGAAGGTGAAGATGCTGCGCAGGATCTGGTGGGGATTGTTGGCGGCAGACTCATCAAATTCGCTAATCACAGCCTTCTGCAGCGGGGGACACTTGATGTTCTTCACAAATTCGAAGATGTCAAAGACCTTGGCAGGCTCTGCCTGCGGAACTGCTGTAGCAGGGGCGCCGCCGGCATCTTGCTGCGCGTCGCCTTGCTGCACAGCTGCCTCGGTGCCGGCATCGCCTTCGATGGCTGGATCTTGATCCATTTGATTTGGTTTTATTTTCAACTGTGTTCGCGCGCTTTTCGTTTGTTTTTTATTATTTCTTTCTTTGTTAACAGGTATTACTTGGGGTAGAAGCTGGGGATGGGGAGGGCGAGAAAGGGAGGCAGTGGTGACGTGGCGTTGTTGCGCTGCCACGCAGGCCCGGCGAAGACGAACAGGGACAGGTAGAGCGGCGCTGTGGCCAGGAGGAATGCCTGGGTGAGTCCGATAGCGAACGGACGAGGAAGGTACTGCTGCAGTGGGTAGCGTGTGTCTGCCAGAGCGCAGGGGGGGAGGGGTGAGTGTGTGATACAATGTGGCGGTTGCGCATGGGTGTGATGTACCGATCGCGCATGCCAGGCCTTGGATCAGGAAGAATAGAAGCGAGGAGAGGCCCGCCTCTCCAAAGCAGGCCTGTGCCGTGAGCACTTGAGTTAGAAGGAGAAAGCTGCATAGGTTGCGAGGTTGTTGCATGATACCGTGGCCACATGTGCATGTAGACACCCACTCACAGCAAATGCGGCGAATGACGCAGCTGTCGCGGAGAAGTGCGCCTAGCCAGGACCAAAGAACGTGAGATAGCACAACAGCAGAGGAGACTGGGAACGCAGCAGCCGCACCCGCTTTCTCAACGGAGTGAACACTGATTCGTGAAGCAGCGAACCCACCAGGCGATTGTAGCGACGCCCCCAGAACTCGCGAGGAGAGCCTTGGGAAAAAGAGTCAACATTGAACAAGCACAGGCGTGGTGGAAGACGGTCCTACCTGACAGGATCATCCAGTCATTGAAGGCTTGAATCTCATACCTGGTAATGAATCGAACGCAGGCAGAATAGACAGAGGAAGAGTGATTGAGGGGCTAGCGTGCTACCTGTCCTTGGTGAGCAAGGAGACCAGGGCTCTCTGGAAGTCGTTTGCGGGTATCGAGGCCATCACGAGCACGGCAAACATCGCAGTATACTGGAGTGTCAGGAGGTAACTCTGCCGCACCACCTCGCCCCCACCGACCTACTCTGACCACAGGTGTTGGTGAGTGCAGTGGCGGCTACTGATTCAACAAGCAGTAGGAAGCATACCTGTTCGAGGCTATAGAGCAGCCATCGGCCCAGCCAGTCACGTAGTACCATCTTACCCAGCCCAAGAGCGGCATTGTATGCTGTTGGGAGTTCCCGTCTCATGAGTGTGTGCAATAGAAAAGCAGTTTTGGCCCTGATGGTAACCTACCGACGTGGCCGAGCCATTGCGTGCCCTCGCGAGGCGTGGGGTTCTTCAACACGGGGAAGACAAACCACAAGAACTTGGCGGCGTAGTCACGCAGCGTGAGAGCTTGACGCTGTGGCGAGGGGTGAGACACAACAAAAAGTCACAGGTGTAAGCGACGTACATTGCATCCAACGTGCGGACACATGACATACCTCCTCATCGGGCAGCAGCATGAGGTGGGTGAGGCGTATGGATGCCATCCAGCACAGTGAAGTTGTCATCATCGTGCTCACGGAGCCAATTGGCAGGTCCTTGCACACATAGGCCGTCAAAGCTGTTCACCACCGACAGGTTCGACCACAACCTGATAGGTGAGTGTTGGAGCGGTCATGCCCTCCTCCAAAACTGTCCGGAGGGACAGCAACGCACCGGCGCAGCTGCCTGAGGCGAGGACTCCCCGGAGCCAGGGGTTCGCCAGCGGCCGCACGAGATAGTAGCTGCCAAGGCCGATTGCGCCTGTGGCAAGGGGAACCACCAGCTTCGACGTGTCCATCTCTTCTGTTCTTTTGAGTTTGTCTCAGTCGAGTGCTGAGCACCCCCTCGAGAAGAAGACTGCTCTTGCTCTTCCTGTTCGTTCTTCGAAGCTCCAATTCGGCGCTACTGAAAATCCGGACAAAAAGCCACCAAGGCCCGTGCCAAAGGAATCTTCGAAGGAAACCTTGCTTCGATTACCACATCTTATTGCTATCTTGTTTCGGGGACATCAGCGCCTGACGTAGAGTCTCATCTCCATCCATCTTCTCGCGAGGCAAGCCACAATCAAGAAGAAACATCGACATGTCGAAGAAGAAGATCCTATTGAAGATTATCGTGCTCGGCGAGTCAGGGGTGGGTAAGACTTCGCTGCTGCTGCGGTACGTGGAGAGGAAATTCACCATGAACACCAAGTCCACGATTGGTGCCAACTTCCTCACCAAGGAGGTAGAAGGTGCGCACCTCAATGCACATTAATTGAACAACAATGTTATTATTTTCTGACCTTAATTGTTGCAAATCGTGCCATAATCCTCTACTCTTTCTGTCGGCAGTTGATGACAAGGTGGCCACCTGCCAGATTTGGGACACAGCCGGACAGGAACGCTTCCAAGGTGCGCAACTTACCCCACCTCCCCCCCCGACAAAATGAAGGAAAATGATGATTTACTCTCTTGTGGTTTGCAGGCTTGGGCACAGCGTTTTACCGAGGTTCGGATGGTGTCATCTTCGTGTTTGACGTTACACAGAGAAGGACGTTCGAGGTTCGCCCCACCACCTGTCGCGCGATGCTTGCTGCAGGTCTAATCGCGAGTTGATTTATTGGCACTTAGGAACTCGAGCACTGGAAGGAGGCGTTTTTGATTCAAGTGGGCAGGAGGGCAACAAGGACTTCCCCATGATCATCATTGCCAACAAGATCGATCTCAAGGAGGAGAGGGTCGTGAGCAGGAAGGAGCTGCAGGTACGCACCTGCTCAATAATTTACGATTAAATTTTATTTTATTTTATTTTATTTTATTTTTGTGGGCAAGGGCACGCGCGGTGTTAGCGCGGTTTGCCGTGCCGTGCGACCGCAGTGTTCTCTGTGACAACCAAACAGCTTTCTTGTTGGCCTTGACCGATGCTGATCAGGCCGTGTCTTCTATGAGTAGGAATGGTGCGCACAGTACGGTCTCAAGTTTTTCGAGGCCAGCGCCAAGGAGGATGAGAACGTAGAGAAGGCCTTCGAAGAAATCACGAGGTACCACTTCCAATCCCTTCCGGAGCCTTTAAGAAAGGGCTCAATGCCTTCCTATACGCGCCTGAACCGTCGAGTACTAAACAACGTCGTCACCACCAATGCACCACCAATGCACCACCAGGCTCGTTATCTCGAAGATGAAGCCCGAGGACATCATGTACGACACTGTAGATTTATCTGTCGGCGAGAAGAAGGAGGACAAGGGCTGCGACTGCTAGTCAACTGCTAGCAGCCGCTGATCGATCGCGCACTCACTCTCACGAAGGAGGAGTGCTTGGAGGGCCGTTTGTGTTTATTGGGGCAGGCCACACACGACAACTACAGGAAGAGAACTATTGAAGAGCAGCAGCAAGTGCTTCACCGCTTCTTCTTCTTCTTTGTAGTCCGGCGTGCTTTAGTAATTACTTGTATTTCTTTTTGGCATTTCTTCGCTTGCCTTCTTGACATTGTTTTGATCTCTTTTTGGTAAGTGTCCCTTTGGGCCAGTTGTTGGGGTAAGTCGTGGCGGTCAAGCATCAGCTCCCATTTAGTCTGAGCAGGAAGACGAATGATCTGCCACGTCCCCGGGTGATCAGCAGAGAGTACAGACAACGAAGGAATTACTGAATCCACAGACAGATATGGATCAATCAAGTGATGGATTGCGCCACCTGACGAAGGCGGTTGCCCAAGAGCTAAGGAGAGAGCTCAAGGAGATGTTAGTCAACGAACTGAGGACACAACAGCAATCACAAGGGCGAGGTACCCTCCCCCTTCCCTTTGACTTTCTTTTATTCTGGCACTGAGCGACCACAACAGGTGCTGACGCAGACTCAACTGGTCTCGAGTTCAGCTTGGACGCCCTGGGTAGGCTGCTCGAGGACAACGTGGCCCGCGTACGCAACGACCTGCGCCTGCTAACCCACAAGCTCAACTCTGCCGAGGCCGCCATGGCCCGCGGTAGCGACGGCAACACCAACAGCACCGCCTCACCCAGGGTGACGGTCTCCCTCTCCCTGCCCTTCCTACCGCCCCCTGGCCACCGCACCATGCCCTCGCCCCTCCAGCTAGGCAGCCCCGGTCGACTCCTCGACACTGGTGCGGTCGGCCTACCCAAGAGTACCAGCAAGCGGCACACCGCACTGCAACTGCATGGGAGGGACTCTCTGGGCAGCCTCGAATCGAGCGCCGAGGCCACGCTCAAGCCTCGCGCTCGCTCGTTCATGGAGGAGAGCGGCGGTATGACGGACGAGACGATGACCGGCGATGATGAAGAGGACGAGGAGAACGACGATCTGCTAGATTCGACGACGCTGTCGCAGTGCGCGGAGCAGGAGAGCCTGGGACAACTGGTGGACGAGCTGGTGACGCTCAACGTGGGCGGGCGCAGGTTCCAGACCTACCGCCGCACACTAATGCGGGTCCCAGGCAGTCTTCTCGGTCGCTACACCACCTCCGAGCACTACGCCTTGGAAAACAGGTTCGCTAGCTCTGTCAACTGATGGTTGTTGTTTGCGTGGCTCACACTTGACAACCACGATAGGGAGAGCACCAGCCGGTCGCGAAGGAAAGACGCGTTCTTTGATCGCAACAGCACAGCCTTCGAGGCCATTCTCGACTTCTATCGCACCGGTACTCGAACTCCTTGCAGCTTGCCCTTGTTATTGAAACAGTGCTGACTTCTTCTTCTTCCTCTTCTTTATCTTTCTCAACCATGGCAGGGGTTCTGCTGAAGCCGCCAGAGCTGCACGAGGAGGTGTGGAAGGGCGAGCTGGGCTACTGGGACATCAAAGAGAACCAGGCCCTGGAGCTCACGACAGAGACAAAGACTGGCTCTCAGGGTGAGAAGAAGCAGAAGAGCAAGGCTGTCAAGCGGGTGAAGAAGAAGAAGAGGGCTTCTACCAAGGACAAGGACACCATCAAGGCCCTCGCCTCCCCGCCTGGCGGGCGTAGCTGGGAGGAAGCCGACGTGCCACGCACCAAGCGAGAGAAGACCAGGCAACCACCTGCACACACCACACACGACATGACACACACACGACGCACACAACACACACGACAACAACACGCTCGCCAAAGCTGACGTCCGCAGCAGGTTGCTGACGGCCGAGCCTGACATGCTGGGTGCGTTGTCGAGAGCAAACCGCCCGGCCTCGCTCAAGGACGTGAGCCTCAAGACCAAGGAGGCACCCGGCAGGGACGACCGGGTCATGAGCACCATCGACCTGCCGCCTCCCTCGAGCACTAAGAAGAAGGACAAGGGCAAGTACATCACCACCCTCGCTTCCGAGGTACGCCTCACAATCGCATCGCGTCCCGCGGGCGTGTGCGGTCATGCGTGTGCGTGCGTGTGCGTGTGCGGTCGTTTGCGGTGGTGCGTGTGTGTAAAAACTCAAAATAGAGTGGGATTGTAGGTGGGGGTGGGCGGGAGTGACAACAACACGTGGAAGAAGAAGAGCAGGCGCTCGGGCAGCGCCTCCGACCTGTCGCTGGAGAAGGAGAAGCCGGCTAAGTCCGTGGCGAAGAAGGAGAAGCGGGAGCACCGGGTCGAGCGGAGCGCCTCCAATCGTTCCCTCACCTGAGCACTGAGCTCTGCAGCACTGGCAGAGAACGAAAACGGAAACGAAGAGAGAGATAAAAGAGAAAAGAGAGAAGACGATTGTACAGTCGGTGTTGTATGAGCAACTGCACCGCCAGAAAAAAACTAATAAATCAGGTGATGATCTTGCTGGTGAGGATCTTGTTGAGGGCCAGCGGAAGGCCCTTGCTGTCCAAGCACACGTAGGCCAGACCTGGCGGGATCTCCTCAGCAATCCTGACAGAGAAGTACGAAGAACGAAGAACGAAGAACGAAGAACGAAGAAGAAAACGACAACACAGGTGAGCTCACTACTCATGTAGGCGCGCGCTGGGGGGGGGCTTGTACCTCTCAGCTTCGTCCGCCAGGCTTGCGATGAAGATGCAATGGGCCTGCACCTTGGGCTCCCGCATCAAGATCTTACCCAACTGCACCGGCCACGAGTGAGCCAGGAGTTAGAACGCGCGCACTAGGCAAGCCCAGGGTGTGGTGCTGGGGGAGCCAAGGTGTGTTCGTACGGTGCGCGGTGAGATGCCGTAGCGTCGGAGGTTGGCATCGCTGACGACGATCACGAAGTGCTCGTCGGCCTCCTCCTTCTCCAGCTCCCGGATGGCCAGTTCCGTCGCCGTCAGCGTGTAGTCTCCGGACCTGGTTCGTGTTTTGGATGTTGGCAGCGTCTTCGTGCGTGTGCGTGTGCGTGTGCGGTGGTGCGTGTGCGCCACGTACGAGCAAAACTGGGAGTGGGCGGCCATGCGTCGGAGGACGGCCAGGCGCTGGCGGCGGTTCTGAGGCTGCTTGACAGTGTCGACCAGCGGAATGTTGGGGCTGTCCCCGCTGTGTCCTGCAAGGGCGCCCAGAGTTATACAGAGCGATCATTGGGGGTGGACGTGTGTGTGTGTGTGTGTGTACCGCCGATGGAATACTTGAATCGGTTCTCAAACCCGGTGAAGCTCTCCATCACCTGACACGACACACGTGAGTGCTGTGCGTGCGTGCGTGCGCGGTATGTGTGGTTCAATGCGCAGGGTTGCGGTATGTGACAAGGGCGGGAACGAACCAGCACAGCGGCTTCTAGCATGCGATCGAGTCGACCATCGAAGCCGTTGAATCGGTACATGCTGCAAGAGATGGGAGATATCAGCTAAGTTGCACGCGTCGTGTGAGGCCAACTCTCGCCAGCGCACCGCACCTTCCGGACACGTCCATGACAAAGTGAATCCGCTTGGGCTTGAGGCCGGCCGAAAAGCCCAGCGGCGGTAGCTCCTCGCCGCGCCGCTTGAAGATCGCCCCCTCGCCCGCCATCGCTTCCACCAGTTGGGCCTCGTCCAGTTCGCCGCCGTGGGTCTGGCGTCGCAGCCACTGCCGTTCCTTAGATCTATAGAGTGCGAGAGAGAGAGAGAGAGTTGGTGTCGTGCGCCATTGTGTGTCGTGTGTTCGTGTGTCGTGCGTGTGTTGTGTGTGTGTTCGTGTGTATGCCGTGTGGGTGAGTGTCGTGCGTACTTGGACTGGAGGCCCTGCAGCATGGTGCGGAGTTGAGACACCTGCCCCTTGACGGCGTAGGCGTAGTCCTCGTAGAGCACGGCGTCCTCCTCGCTCATTTCGATCTCCTGCAGCTTCTTCTGGAGGGCCTCCTGGGCCATCGCCTTGGCCGCCTCCAGCACCTCCTTCGACACCTTTCGCTTTTCCTCGTCGCTGATCTGGTGCACCGGGTGGCCCGAATCAAGCCTATACGGTCCCCCCTTACCACCTACAATCCCAGACTTTAGACGCGTGTGCGATGTGTGCGGTGTGTGCGGTGCGTGGGACGTGCGTACCAAGGCCGGCGGTGTCGGCGCCTCCACTGCCGCCTGCCCAGGTGTTGCCCCCGACGTGCGGGCTGTTGGCGGGGTCCACCTTGCCGTGCTTGGGCTTCGTTGCCTGTCGGTCGTTGTCATATTCGTAGTTGAGACGCAACGGCCTCCTCCGCCCGCTAGCGGCCGTCGCCCCCGCCCCCGCTCCCGCCTGCGACGCTCTAGAGCCCATTACCATTACCTTGATGTACGAATACGCACACACACACCACCGCACACACACACCACCGCACACACACCACCCCACACACACAACACACACACCACACACAATGATCGTACTCGAAGAGTTCGACGGGAGGTTGCATGAAGGTGTTGGAGACGCGAAAGCCCGAGCGCTTGAACGCGGCGACGATGCTCTCGCGCACGGTCGAGTCGCTCCACACGTCGAAGGCAAACACGTTGCGCAGGGCCTCCTCGAAGGGCTCGCCCGGGAACCGCTCGAGGTGGCGCGCGATGGCGATGGCCTCGCGCGATGAGTAGGGGTAGGACAGGTGGCCCTCGTCGACCAGCTGCCGCAGGTGGCTGAAGGCCCGCGTGAGCCGCGACAGCGTCTCGGTCGGGACCGACGGCGCGTAGGCCCGCAGCAACGCCATCTCCGACGCCACGTCCGGATTGTCGATCGCATGACTACCCGCACCAACAATTAGCATCGTGTGTGCGGTGTGTGTGCGGTGTGTGCGCGGTGTGTGCGCGGTACCAGCTGAAGAGATCACCGCATTCACGGAAGAAGTCATTCCCCAAGAACGGCCAGCCGGGCTTGTTGGCCAGCACGATCAGACGGAAGTTGGGGTGCATGGCGACCACGGCCTCAGCCTCGTTCGGGGCAGAGGACGAGCCCTGCTGCGCGATGTGCGCCGATTGCACGATGCGCCGACCGTCGGCAAGGGTCATCTCTCCGTCGACCAGCGACTTCAGGACCACGACCACCTCCGGTGGCGCTGCAACGTTTTGAAAAACGTCAACTGTAAGTCCATACTTGTATTATACATAATATATAGAAATACAATACTTGTGAGGCACTACCTTTGTCGGCTTCGTCAACGACCAGCACGTGGCCCTCCTTAACGGCCTTCACCAGCGGGGAATCGGTCCAGACAATTTTACCTCTGCCAAAATAAAGAAGTCAATCAAATAAATAACACGAAAACGTACAGGCTTTTTAAGGGTACCGTTCGAGGGACGGCTGCAGGGTGAGGGAGGAGACTGTGGTGTCGCGGTGGAGCTGAATGTACTGCCGAGGGAGACTGTCGCAACGACGCTTGACATGTGAGGAATGGATGGAATGCACGGGTGTGGAATGTGGAATGAAAAGAAAGCGACACAGTGGGTGAGAGACGACGTACTGGAGGGTCTGTAGGAACTTGTCGGTGAGCTTGTTCTTGCCGACGCCCTGCGGTCCGATGAGCAGCAGGTGCTCGCCCAGGGCGTAGTCCTTGTACATCTCCTGCAGCAGCGACACGTGCGACGGGATCGCGAAGAAGTCAATGTCCGGGATCAGGTGCACCGGGTGGGCCTTGGCCGCAGGCGCCTCGACCGCCAGCGATGACGCGCCCGTGGGCGAGAACGGCGACGGCGACGGCGACTGGCCCTCGAGGGCCTTGGCATTCCTCGCCTCGTCATGGAATGTGCCGACGGAGAAGAGGTAATCGTAGTTGCCTTTTTCACATTCCTGAGCGTATTCCTTGGCGTGGTGCGACGAGAAGGGCTCCCGGCCGCCGAGGGACTTGAAGAGGAGCTTGGTGACGGTGGCCTTGGTGGCCGCCGGCAGGAAGTCGAACAGCAGCAGGCCGTGCACCACATCGCGGGTGTCGAGGGCCGTCGCGGGCCGCTCGGCGTTGGCGATACGGCGGCCCGCGCGGATCAGCTGCCGCGTGGAGAGCGCGATCTGCAGGTGCTTGTTCTGTTTGAGCGCCTCGTTGAACCGCACCAAGCCCGCGAGCTGCTCCCTGGCGCGGTCCAGCCGGGCCGGCGATGATGCGTTGTCGACACTGTCGACACCATCGCGGCGAAGCGCCACGCGGTCGAGGAACCGCTCGAGCTCGACGGGATTGTCGAGCGAGGGGAGGTGGTGGAAGTGGAAGAGGGACATCACCTCCTGCGTGATGTAGGCGTGCGACGCCGATGGGAGGTCGCCGGTGGCGATGATCCGGAACGCTGGGTGGATCGCATACACCCGATTGGCCTGGCATGAAGATCATACATCAGACCTTACAGGCCAGGCATGCGGCGGTTTGTGTGCTGCAAACATTGTGGGGTGGTGACCGGTACCGTCAACTCGGCCTGGGTGAGGCCGTGCTCGCTCAGCAGGCGGCCGTAGGTCTCCGAAGAGACCAGACGCGTGCCATCATGCAGGGACACCTGGCGCTCGTGGATGAGGCTTTGGAGCACCGACAAAGCGCCGACCGGAAGCCGGTCGATGTTGTCGAGGATGGCGATGCGACCATTGACGGCGGCCCGGATGAGCGGGCTCAGCTCCCACATCGACTCGCTGTCCTCGCCCTCGCGCAGGCTCTCGGCCAGGGCGTCGTTGTTCCCCATGATCCGGCTCTCCTCGCGCACCAGCTCGTCGGTGGCAGACGCGACCAGGCCAAGGCCCTCCCGGTGGCGAGCCGATGACGACTGCGACAGCGCCTCTGCCTGCTTGGCGCGGTCGATCTTCTTCGTGGCTCGACGCTGGAGCAGATCGCGAGTCGACATGTCCCTGAACAGCATCATGTGCTCCGTTTCGTAACCCAGCATGGCTGCGAATTGCCTGCGTGCGCCCAACAAGCCATTAACAAAATTAATAAAATTATAATCATAATCAGAATTATAATCATAATCAGAATATAGATTATAGAGAACATATAACAACGAACAACGCACTTGACCAGTGTCGACTTGCCCGATCCCTTCGGGCCGATGATGCACATATCCCGCCCTATGGCATGGTCCTCCAGCATCTGATGTGAGTGTGTGTGGGGTGGGTGCGTGCGTGCGTGCGTGGGGACACCAGTGAGGAAAGATAGTTCTGGCACACGCGTCAGGCTCGTGCTTGCCTGGTGATTGAGACGTACGTGCTGAAGCAGAACCCCACCATGCGAGGTAACAACAAACGCGCCCGAATCGGGTGCAACGGATGGGAGCGGCCCGGAGGGGACACGCACTTTGGCCTCCTCTCTCCCGCTCTCTCTGCGCGCGTCGTGCCCACTCATGTCACTCAGTTATGCTCCGCTCCAGCGGTTGCGGTTTTCACGGGACGGACCTTGTGAGGGTGACCAGCTTGTGGCGCGGCGCTTCGTGACGAACGCTCGCGATGGCGTAGCCCTTGGCCCGCTCGCTCTTCATGTCCACGCCCAGCTTCTTGAATGCGCTCTCGATGGCGTCGGCCTGGGCGGCGTCCTTAGCCACCCAGCGGGAGGGATAGACTCGTCGCAGCACGTCCTGTCCCGGAGTGAGCAACAAACACGACACGACACGACACGACCAACGACACGACACGACACGACACACCAACGACACGACACGACACGACACGCACACACGATGCGTAGAGCAGGTAGAGGAGTACTTGGGTGGCGGTGTGCGGGAATCGCTCGAGCAATCGGGCCGCGGAAACCAGGCCCTCCTCGGTGAACTCGATGGGCTTGGCCAGCAGCTCGCTAAAGGACTCTAAGGAAATCGAAGGCGTGGTGATTACGAGCTGAGTACGTGTGCGGTGGTGACAGACCTGGCCCACCCGTTACCTGTGTCCGCGTGTCGGAAAGCTTCCGCGGCGGAGGCCAAGAGCTTCACAGTGTCGGCGGAGAGAGAGGGCGCCTCCCGGCTGAGAGTATCGATGCGGGAGGACAGCGAAAGCGGAGGCACGCTGTAGGCCTGGAAACGCGAACGCAGCGGCGGGTCCAGCGGATTCCCCGCATACCGCGGTACCTGCCACACAAAGCAGACGCCGTGATGAGTGACACACACAAACACACACGACACACACACACACCACACACACACAACACCAGATGGTAGGAGGGGTACCGGGAGGGACAGGGAGATGACCCGGAAGTTGGGGTCGACGCGGATCAGACCGAGTCTGTGCATTTCGGCCTCCGTGTGCGTCTCCAGCAGCTTGTCGTACCGCTTGGCGTTCATCAGAAACCGTCCGTCTTCCAGGGCCTGTGTGGGTAGGGCAGAGAAGAAACTGAGCGTCAGCACCAGCGAGTGTGAGCGGTGAGTGGTGAGCGAGTGTGAGCGGTAACGTTAACCATTTCTCTGTTTTCGAGGAGATTGTTGAGAAGCGGCAGGATGTTGCGTTCGGCCTTCTCGATGCCTTCGAGAATGAGCACCCGGCCCTCGATGGCCGCTCTGACGGCAGCTTGATCTGCCACAGTCCAATCACGTGATCGCGTAAGCCAAGAGCGGCGTATGCGTGTCGTGTGTGCCGTGTGTCGTGAGAAGAGGGGCATCATCGTGCACAGCTCGATAATTGCAAAGTGTCAAGGTACCGACAAAGCGAACAGAGTTGCCGACGATCTCGCGTCGTTGCTTGAGATCGGCCTCCGTCGTGTCCCGCGACAGCGAAATGAACTCGTACTCTCGCTGGGCCACCTCGCAGAAGCGCAGCGCGATGCGGCGCCTGAGCTCACCGGGCGGACTTCGCGAGCGTAGTAGCCACCGTTACAACAGTCAACTGATACGTCACAGGGCCCTGCCATATGACCTGATGGGCGGCCAAGCACGTACCCAAGAAGCAGCATGTCCTGCGCCAGCTGGTCCTTCTGCATCATCCACCTCAACACTTGAAGCACCTGCGACATGTGGCCGTGTGTAGGGGTTAAGCTCGGGCTGAGCTTGCTGGCGGGAGCAGTTGGTGGTTGGTACCTCCTGTGTTTCCATCATCCAGCCCAACGACGACGGAAGCAGCGGAACGAAGGCCGGCGTGCGCGGCCCGCCGGAGGGCAGCGGCAGGGAGACATCCCCGATCGTCACTCGCGATGGGCGCTGACCGACAGAGGCCTCGTCCAGGCCTGTGGTGTTATTATTAAATAATGATGAGAAATATGACTATTTAATATTATTACCATTTAATATTAAATCAAAATATTTCTGTGTAAGTGTAAGCAGTGGTACCGTGCAGACGGCGGGTGAAGATTAACAGATGATGGGGCCGGGGGGTGGAGGAAAATGGATGAGAGGTCCGGAGTGGAGGACACAGCCGCACCCGAGCAGGAGCAGGCAATGAGCGACCGCAGGAAAAAGGCAGAGTCGCACGTTCCTGCCAGGTGCCGCGGCAAGGGACCCGCAGCGAACACCGCAGCATCTCACTTGATGAGATTAGCTCCGAAAATGAGCGGAAAAATAAAATAAACAAAAATAAATTGGAGATGAGAGAAGAGCCTCTTGGCCTCTTTCCTCTCGGCAATCTTAATCTGCGGTTGAGATGAATGAAGATTCGAAAAGCAAAGAAAGTAAAAAGTGGAGGTGTTGGAGTCGATACGCAGCTTCCCGAGAGGACCCACTCAGGGCTGTGATCCCTCCACCAAGGGGACCGGCGTCTTTTCCCTGCTCTGTCAACCAGCCTGAGGCGGTGCGACGCTCATCATCGACCTTGAAGCCCTCACCTCCGCGAGGGCCACAATGTCGAGTCTCCTTCTGGAATGGGGCAGCGGCCTTCGGCGTGGGCCTAAACCCTCGCTCGTCTACGCACGCCACCAATCCCTCCACCCACATGCCCCGCAAGCACGGTCACAGCCCGCTGCTTAGGCGGGCCGGCGAACAGTGAGGGCAGGGCCGGCAGTACTTGAAGGCCCGGTTTAGTTGGGCACCAGGCTATTGTGGGACGGCCAACACAGTGTCGACACCTTGACACCTGTGACCTGGCTCCCACATGGGCTCAGGGCAGACAAGGGAAGGCCACGGGTTGTCTCTGGATTCTTAAGCTCAACACGAACTGGTGAGTGATGTGCGTGGCTTGTCTCACCGATAGAGCTTTGCTGGAGGTGTTGTTGCCAACTCGGTTCGATTCAACCACACGCGACGACCATGATGACAGCCAGGAGTTTTGTGGTGGTGTGCGCACTCGCACTGTTCTTGGCGGCGAGCGCGCGAGGCGACGACAAAGGAGGAGAGGGAGGCCCCTGCACGGGCGGACACTGGCCGGACGATCGAGGATGCTGCCCCGACGTCATCAAGAACAAGCCCTACTACCGCGACGCCCGCAAGTGCTACCCCAGGGACGGACCTCGCGGCGTGCTCTATCCTGACTCCTTCGGGTACCACTTGTGTGCGGTGTGTGCCGTGTGTGCGGTGCTTTTGGTGCCTGCCTCTGACACGAGGTGATGGGCTCCAGGTGCTACCCCGACGAGCAGGGCAAGTACAAGTCGGCCACGGAGGACTGCCCGAAGGACAGGCGGTGCGAGGCGCGGTGCATCCAGCCCAGGCCCAAGTACCAGTGGGACAACACCAAGGACGACCGTGAGCACCAGTGGCTCGACGCAGCGAACGCGCTGCCCGCCGCCGACGACGTCAATCCGCACCAGCCGCTCGACGCCAAGACCAAGGGGGGCAAGGGCGACGACATGAAGGTGAGTCCGGGCCATATGGTCAAGTGCAACAGCGGCCAGCGGCCGGACAGCAAGGGCTGCTGCCCGCGTGAGATTCAGGGGAAGTGGTACTACCGCGACCGCCACGGGTGCTACCCCATCCAGACCCTCGTCGTGGGCCACGGCAGCAGCGGCGCCGGCCTCTACGCCGACGACCAGGGCTGCTACCCCGACCGCAGCACTGGTCGGTACCTCAAGCCCGGCGAGAAGTGCCCCGAACACCGGCGATGCTACCCCACGTGCGACGGGGGCGCTAAGCACTGAAACAGGCGCTGTACCACTGCACAAGAACGTATGTCATCAATATGTAATCAACATGTTACGCTTCACATGTGTAGGTTCCTATGAACGTCTACATGAAGTAGGGGGTGGCGGCCACGAGCTGGTCAAAGTTGATGGAGATGTTGGAGGCGGCGGGCTGTGCGCCGGGAGCTCCGGGCATGGGGGGCTGGACAACGCCGGGCGCTCCGGGCTGTTGATGCGCGGGAGGGGCAGAGGCCGCGCTGAAGGCGTAGAAGTCAAAGTAGCTCTTGAGGCCTCCCAGGAAGAGGGCCACCTCGGTGAAGCCGTCGAGGGTGAGACCCGCGTGCCTGGGGTCGAAGCGGCCCAGCACGCCAGCCTGAGCCTGCGGGCTCAAGGGGAAGCCAGCCGTGACCAACGCCGCCGAGATTTCAGTCCCTGTTGTGGCCACGCCATACAACACGCAACACGACACGACACGCATTGGTGATTAGATGGGCAGGGGCCATGATGAAGGAGAGGGGGGACGTGCAGTTGTCGAGCTTGCCCGAGCGATCGCGGTCCTGCGAGGCGAAGGCGTTGCGGAGGAAGAGCACGAACTGGTAGAGGCACACAAACTCATGCACGCCGATCTGGCCGCTTCGGTCGGTGTCGAAGGTCTGCACCAGGCGCTTCAGCGTGGCCGGGCTCAGCGTGATCTGTGAAGTGAAGCAATGAGCAGCTGTGGTGAGTTCATTCTACCCCCAGGCCCGGAAGAGGGGTTGTGGGTTTGGTTACGTTGGCCTGGGCCAGGGCGCGACCGATCTCGGCATCGTCGAGTTGCCCGCTCTTGTCGGTGTCGACAACGTAGAACCAGCCTAGGGGTTGATGCGGTGGGGAATGAGTGGGGATGAAAGTGACGTGAACTTGTCGGGGGGGCATAGTGTAGCGTACCTTGGATTTGACTGATGAGGGCCGGGTCTGTTCCATAGTGGGCGGCATACTACCCCCCCCCCACAATCAACCAAGCGTTATGATTGAACGTTCAAGAAGTACAGCTTGAACAAGGAGCAGACATACCCACGGACGCTGTGCTCCCCAGTTCGGCTGCTGCATGATCTGTTGTCTTCCTTGATTGCCTCTTGGAACGTGAGAGAAAAGCTCTGGCCCAACCTTTCCCAGCGAACTGCGCAGAACCCTTTTTAAGGTAAAGTGGTTGTTACCCGTTGATTGTATTTCAATAATACTCTGAAAGCTTGTGAAACATTGCAAGTGGCACACAATGCAGTATACATTATATTACCATTCCTCGTCGTCCACCACCTCCTCGCTGATGGCCACTCGCCGAGCGATCAACGCCTTTTGCCACAGACACCGTTTAGCGAATACACACGTACAACCCACCCTTCTCGCAAGAATGAAAGTGTCGTACCCGCGCCAAGAAGTTGAACACGCTCGTGTCGTTGTCCTCCTTCTCTCGTGCGACTTCCTCGTGGTCCTAGCGCCATGACATGCAGGAAAGCCAATGTTTGCTGATCAGCCCGTGGAGCTCCAAGCTACGGCATAAATGTGAGGGTCAGGGCGGTGATGCATACCACTTTCTTGAGCTTGGTGGACGCCAGGCGGTCGCGCAGGGAGCTGGCCACGGTGTTGCCCGAAGCTATCGCTCGGAACGAGCCGCCTGGGACGCCATCCACAGCCGCCGTCGGTGCAGACAGGGTTGACGCGATCGGAGAAGAAGCCACGAGCGGAGGCGGCGGCGCGGGAGCTGCAGGCGGAGGCGGAGGCGGAGCAGCGATGGCGCCCATGCGAGGCGCACTCTCGCCATCG